AATTTATATAAAAAAATAAAAATTAATGTTAATTTTTTATTTATTTTAAAATAATTATTATTTTTTATTTTTTTAAAAATTAAAATTTTGAAAATAAAATAATAAATAATAAATTTATAATAAATTTAAAGCCAAAAAAAGAGTGTTATTTTAAGATGAATAGATAAATATTTGATATTTTATTTTCAAAAGTTTAAAATGTTATTACTTTTTTTTATCTTAAAATAACTGTTGTTATTATTCAATTTTTGGTAGTTTAGTGACCACCCTTGGAGGATATGATTGAATATAATGGTCTGAATTCTATTTCCAATTCCTACTCTCTCCTTTCCCTAAAAATTTTCCTCTGTTCAAAATAATTGTTGTTATTTGATTATTTCTCTAAATTAAATTAAAGATTTAGAGATAACATTTATATTTATCCATAATATTTTAAAAAAAATAAAAAATAAAAAATTATAATTAATTTAAAATAAATATAAAATAAAAAATTATTATTATTTTGACACAAATACAATGTATATTTTTTGGGAAATGTAAGGAGCTAACCTCTTTAACAAAATAAACCCTTGATAATCGTTACCCAGGAAACAAAGATTCCGACGACATACACTTGTGATTCAATTTGACCTCATTGCAGCCAGAAAGGGTTAACAATATATCATACTTTCATTTAAAGTAAGGAAAATAATTTAAAAATAATTTAATATTATTTTTAATATAAATTTATATATTATTTTAAATAATTTTTATATATTATTTTAAATAATTTTTATATATTATTTTAAATAATTAATGTTATAATTTTTTAATATAATTATTTATTATATTTTTATATTATATATTTTTTAATATTAATTAACATAAAAATAAATAAAAATTAATATTAATTTTATTACTAATATTATATATTATTTTAAATAATTAATGTTACATCTTTTAATATGCTTATTATATTTTTATATTATACTTTTTAACTTTTCATATTATATATTTTTTAATAAAGTTAACCTCTAAGTAAATAGGCCCTTAATAGAGCAGAGCAGGTT